AAGCGCCAAAAGCCTCAACCGAAGCGCCAGAAGTCTCAACCGAAGCGCCGGCAGCCTCAACAGAAGCGCCAGCAGCCTCAACCGAAGCACCGGGAGCCTCAACAGAAGCGCCGACAGCCTCAACCGAAGCGCCGACAGCCTCAACCGAAGCGCCAAAAGCCTCAACCGAAGCGCCAGAAGTCTCAACCGAAGCGCCGGCAGCCTCAACAGAAGCGCCAGCAGCCTCAACCGAAGCACCGGGAGCCTCAACAGAAGCGCCGACAGCCTCAACCGAAGCGCCGACAGCCTCAACCGAAGCGGCAGAAGCCTCAACCAAAGAGCTGGCAGCCTCAACCGAAGCGCCAGAAGCCTCAACAGAAGCGCCGGCAGCCTCAACAGAAGCGCCGGCAGCCTCAACCGAAGCGGCAGAAGCCTCAACCGAAGCGCCGACTTCAACAAAAGGGTCCTTCCTGAGGCCACTGCCGGCGCAGGAGCCGTGCGACCCTTGTTCAGGGCGAGTGAGGGTTCCCTGTATCGCTGTGTTTTAAGGTTTAGTTTCTCTTTTTGGTCCGATTGATAGCTCAGATCGCGATATCTGGCTGATCACCACAGATGCCAGGCACTAGAACATGTGGATCAACGACAGGCCCCACAATCAATGTACAACATGTGACCCATTTGCAAGGTAGACGTGGGAAAATCTGGCCCTGCGGTTGACGGACGAAATCCTCCACCGCCTCTCCCAACTGCATATTGCCACCAAACAGACTGCACACCCCGCTCCCCGTTTTCAATGTTGTTCGCGTTCGCAAATGGTGGTTCAGGATTTCGGTCATTCCAACATGGCAGGAAAACACCCCGGCTGACTTCGACAACCCCAAACCCTCAGTAAACATTGCATGGAGTGCTTCAGGACTCGCAGAACCCAAAGATGGCAGAACTGGTAAAAGCGGCCAAAGAATTCATGGAGGAGCTTGAGCAGCCTGGGGGCCAAGTCTGAGTGTGGGTAAAGCCCCAATGAATGCTTTGTCAGGTCAAGGGGATGCTTAGGGAACCTAAGATAGTTTGTTTCCTAGTTGGCTTCGCTTGGAACCGCCTAGACGTGTTTGTTGCTTTGTTTTTTCCCTTTCAGGACAACCAACGGCGGGGGGGGGGGGAGATTGTTTTTTGGTTCAAACCTTGACCAAACAAGGGGTTCCCAAGACCCCGCCAGGTTCCTCAAATAGAGAAAGACTTGACCCCTGGGCGATTCTGCTTCTAACAGACCATTTCCCTTGGAAGACTGGCAGAGTGGCGTTGGAGACTCCCAACCCTCCTGGTCGTCAGAAGGCTCGTGAGGAAGTTTGTTCGCCATTCACAGACTGCGCCGATGGTGACTTGCCTTTCTTCGCCACTTTCTTGGCCCTTTCGTGTCTTTGAAGCCTGGCCCCTTCTTCACTGGACTGCTTGGTATCACAGAAAGCGGCTTTTCAAAACGCGCCTCCCACTTATTCAAGGGCTGCCCCATTCAAGACTGTGAAGCAGCTCCATCTCAAAGCCAGACTACGCACCACTTTGCAGTCCTTTGCTAAACCTATGATGCGAAAGGCGATTGCGCGCTTCAAGAATTGCCCTTGTGCCCTTTGTGGTGGCAAAGGCGGAAGTTCTGACTTGACTATTTGGTTCTCGTGGGAATGGAAACGAGCACCAACTCGGGTTCAAGCAGACTCAGCCTAGAGTTCGGCTCTTTGGCCACAGGGAATCAGAGAAGCAACCGACTTGCAAACCTTCGGTTCGCCAGAGGTCCGCATGTTTCCCTTTTGGTAGTTTCAATCACCATGGCAAGGTGAGTTTCCCCCGTGGCGTTTTGCAACGGGCGGTGATTTTTTCTCACCCTCGTCCAGGTCGTCGCTGAGGAGCGGAGACACGTCGAGACGTCTTCAGCGCTTTGTCATTTCCTTCCTGCAAGAGATCACCAGCCTGATTCTGACGCCTGAAGCCCGCAAGCCCCACGGCAGAAGCTCGGTTGCTCGCTGCCTTGGGGAAATACTCTGCTTGGTTTGGTTTGGTCGGTTGGGTTGCTTTGTTTGGTTGGTTGGTTGGTTGGTTAGTTGGTTGCGGGTTCTGTGGACATGTGTTCTGTGTTCATTTGATTTTGTGGTTTGCGGCATTGGCTTTGTTGTTTGCTTGCTTTCTTCCTTGGTGGCCGTTTGCTTGGATGCATGACATTCACATAACATAGTAGCTGATCCAGACGGGGATTCTTGGTTGATCAGGCCTACCAAATTGATGTTTCTTCATAAGGATCTTTTTGTAGATTGGTTCAAAGGGGAGCACATGTAACTTAGCCATTTGAAGGGGCACCCATCTTTGAGACCCGTCACCTTTCATTGCGGAGACAGCCTGGGCCATAGGTTCCACACGCGGGGTTTCATTGCGGTAATGAATGTCAGCTGTGGATTCATGCGGAGGACCATGTACGAATCGTACGAATGAGGGGTGTGAGCCCGTTTGGTGGGGATTTCTTCATTTAAAGGAGGTTCCTCGGAGCAGTAGACGTCTCATGACGAGCCCCGACTGGTGGCTCTGTTGTGCTGTTCGGTCAAAAAAGCAGTTATGGAGCTCCCTCCAGGGGAAAAAAAAGAATCCAGGGGCACACCTTGGTTTGGGCATGTGTACAAATGATGTGCGCCTTGGTGTTTTTTGTGGCAAATCATCCCTACACCCTCGCAAATGGACTATCAGGAGGGAGGGGGGGGGGTGAGGTCGGTTTTGGATTTTGTCCCTTCCATTTTTTTCCGGCTTGAAATCCCTTGCAACAGTCCTGAGTTGAAAATGGAAAGAATTGGGGGAGGTGCCTTTTCCATTTTTGCCCCCCCTGGAGGGGGCATTTTCTCCATTTTCCATTGCAATGCCGACGCATCGCTCGCCACGATCCGCCATTCGTTTTGATTTCTCTTGCAGACCTTCTCCTTTGCTGCTTTCATTGAGGGTAGAGAGGGGGGGAGATGCCGATTGTAGCATTTTCTAGAGATAGAAACACCTCCCTTCCCTCAAAAGGCGTGGAGGGGTGCGTTGGCTAGGAAATGTGGGGGGGAGGTGTATTTCCTGCATGACGTCAGGGAAATCCACCTCCCCCCTTGATGTTCCCTTGGTTTTGCAGTGTTTGCCTTGGTTTGCCTTGTGTTGCTTTGTTCTAGGCGTGTCCCTGGTCCCTTGTTGCTTTCAAGAATGGGGGAGAGGCAGTTTTTGCCAAATAGAGCCACCTCCCCCTCCCTGATTTCCATTTTATTCGTGTGGAAGGGCGCAGTAGCCCAATAAATATAATTTTCAGGCAGGTGGGAGGTGGTGGCTAGCATGGTCTCCTGTGGACCTGCCCCAACTGCCTGGTTTCATGTTGAAATTTTCAACTTTCATTTTGTTTATGACATCTGGTTGGGGCGAGAAAATCGCTCAGAACCTCCCCCCAGCCCCTTCCAATAGCGGGGCGGGGTAGGTCAAAAGGGGATACGACGAGGCGGTAGTGGTGGCAAATCACCATATCTGCTGTGGCACGGGCGGATCCGCTGAAGTCTCTGCAAAGAAGTGTGTGTGTGTGTGCCGAGTTCCAGATTTACCCTGGAACCACCTACAGCAGGGGGCCGGAGCCGGCCCGGGGGTCTCCGGCCAACGAAGCCAACGAAGACGCCCCCGGTGCCCGGGTGCAACCGTACCTGCTCGACCGCGCCTGGGCCATTGACATGGCAGCTGGCAGGTCACCCAAACTAAGTTCCCCTTTTTGCCCCCTGAATTGCGATTTGCCAGTTGTACTCGAAAGTTGTACTCGAAAGTTGTACTCGAAAGTTGTACTCGAAGTTCAGCAACCTCCCTCGGGAGTTCAAGTGTCTTTACCCCGTCTCGGGGGACCCTCGGATGCACCCATTGCGTGGCTCCGGGACGGCATTGCCGTTTAATTTGACATTGGCGTCGATCACTAGACCAGCGGAATTTCACTTTTAAGCAGAAACGAGGTTTCACTAAAGGGAAGACAGCGTAAGCCATTTCACCCACCACTGACATCACTCGCGCTGGCTGGGCTGGATCCGCTGACATCACTTGCGCTGGCTGGGTTGGATGCAGTGTCATTGCTGTCTTTCATTTACATGCTAGTGCCATGGTTTTTGAGTGCTTTGTGTCTCAAGCGTTGGGTTTTGAAATCCTCGTCTTGCGCTTGATCATGCCTCGCCGTGATGACCGTGAACGATATCGTACTCGGCACCGCCGTGGGCGATCCGAATCGCCACCTCGCAAAGCACGCAGACGTAATGATCGTGATGATGATCCACGCCAAGCAGATTCTCAAGATTGGCTTAACTCTTCGATGTGGCAGGGTTCCAACGGCACTGCTTCGGTGCCACAGCCACCTTCCATGCCCGCAGCGCACAACCGCTCGATGAACTACCTGCATCATGCACCAGCACCGTTCCCTCCTACTCCTTGCCTTGCACCATACCATCCCGCGCCTGGACTTCCTCTTTCGCTTGATCCATGTCATCGTGCCCCTCATGAGCTACCTGCGCACCAGCCTATGCCAACACAGGCTACATTCGCGATTCCTCCCCCGCCCAGTTCTTCAGCTACGCAGCTCAACGCCCGACTTCAGGCTCTAGGGCAACAGGTCAACCACTTTGGCTCACAGCCCCGGCGGAGTGGACGTCTGGAGACGGTCGTCTGGATCGCAACCAGCTCTACTCCTTCACTCTGCCAGTTTCAGTCGCCAATACTCCTCACACTCGTGAACGTGGCATGGCTGAGCTCGACATTCGTGATGTACGTTTAGTTCAAGCAACGCATGGTGGCCTTTCAAACTGGTTGCTACGTCCTTTTGCTCACGGCCGCTTTGTGACTTGGGAAGGATTCCGTACCAGGGCTGAAGCCCTCTTGTGGAGCACCTGTTCAAAACTCCTGCGCCGATCTCAGCAGCTCAACCTTCTTACCCTCGAGAAGGACACTGCCAGCTCCCTGGGACTCAACTTGGAGGACTCATCAAGATTCATGAGCATTTGGCCAACAACATCCTCGAGTACCTTGCACAGCAGCACCAAGCCATTTCATCGCGGCTACCTAACGCCGATGCAGTCGCGAATTGTCATTAATGAGCTTCTCAAAGCTGGGCTGGCCGCGACACGCAAAGCTCACGATGCCTCCGCTACTACCACGCCACCCACCGTGTCCGCAGTGAACACACCTTCCCCTTCCAGGCCTTCAGAGTCAAGTGCAATTTTACCCATGGCTAGTGCTGCTGCCGTTGATGGGAAATCTTTTTACAGGAACTTCGCGAAGAGCCCCATGCTCAATTCACTACATGGTCGCTCCCCTCGTCAGCCTCATGACGAGAAGCAGGATGATCCAATGCTTGCAGCCACTGATTCCGCGCATCATGCGCCACCTCCGCGTTCGGATCAAAGCTCGCCTCAGGAGATCCTGGAAGCGCTGTGTATTCTAATTGTCACAGCACGCACTCTTGCCTGACTGAAAGCTTGAATCCTATTAGCCCGGAGTGGTGTTGCCATGTGCACAATCATGCTCATAGCTTGCGTGTTGCATTGCGCTGATATCATGGACATGGGAGTGAGATGTGTTGTGTCATACATTCGCAGCTTTCATCATGTGGTCGGAGTTTAGATCGAGTGGGATTCTCGATGATTTGGTTCTCTGGCATTCATTGTCCACTTTCCTCAGCTCGCTGGCGTTCATTTCTGCTTGCTGGACTTTTGTCTTTCCTGAACTACCTGGACCTGCGGCACCTGCTCATGAAGTCGCATCAATCTTGAAGTTGGCTCACGTTGATATGATCCTTGAAGCCCTCACTGGTTAGGGTATCAGATCCCTGCGAACGCGTTTACGAGCACTTCCAATCCAACGGCCAATCGGTATCAACTTCATCGCTGTCGGCTATCAGCCTTTTTGCTTCTGTGTTTCCTTCAACGACTCGTTCTACAGGACAATGGATACATACCAGCGTTTTTTGAAGTATTGCACTTCTACAAGGCCGCGCTGTTCCGTGACATTATGTTTTCCTCATTCACTGAACATCGCCATTTGCGTTCCCTACGTGCTCGACTACCTGATCTTAATGCTTTTCTTCATGATGATGCTCATTTTCAACAACCATGCGTATACCTTCGAATTTCACCATGGTTCATGCCATATTACATCGGTGCAACTGACCATGATGTTCTGCATAGGGAGCACTCCAGGTGTCGCAAGTTTCTCCAACTTCAACGCGATCAACATGCCTTTTTTGAACCTGCCCTTCACTACTGGCGACGTGCACAGAACTATTGGTTATACTGTGCCGTACCCGTTGAATACAAGGACCCGCGCATTCCGTTTGGACACAGGAGAGCAAGTGGCAATATATTCTACGACCACAACTTAATGCTCCATGGGTACACCGTATCCTTCGCAAACTGGGATATCATGACCACCTTGTTGACTTCCGTCGTCATTCCATATCAACTCCAGCTTCGCACACTCTACACAAGAAATTTCGCCGACGTTTACACCCACATCTACATCGTCAACTACGACCTCAAGCTCTTGATGATGTTCAAGCACACTACAACCTGCTTTACAAATTGGGTTCAGACACAGGAGCATCTTTTGACACCATGCGTGAACTACTCTCCGCCGCTTTTCCACCCACACAGCTATACTATCTTCTTCGGCTGGTTGAGTTCGTCAATGAGCCATTCCGCTCCAAGGCCAAACGCCACATCGCCGTGATCCTCACAAAACGCCGCCTCGCCATACCGCCATCATCTGCCAACTTACTACTACCTCCTATACATGCTACGCGCTGGAAGCGAAGACTGGGAATATGGCTCAAGCAGTGGGTCGCAGATCACCAGCAGCTGTTTCCGTCACTCTTCCTACCCAAGATCCGTGTTATTGAGACCCGCAGTGCCACATTAGGTGATCGAATTTTCAATTATCGGCTGGCAACAAAGATGGACTCCTGACA